CAAAAGAAGCAGAGGCACATAATGATTGGCGTATAGTATAATATGTTCTCGATGTACTCGCCCTACTTGAGGGTGACTGACTACTGCTTCGATGGACCCCCGCCCCGCCCCCCGCCCACCCTGTAATAAGAGTGGTATAACAGGAATATACAGAATATAAGAGGATATTAATATACTTATCCTTGTCCCTTACCGTCACTATTACTGGGTGGGGAGGCCACTTAATCCTCATGATAGCCCCTATACAACCCGCAAAAATGTAGTTTCCGTTTTCTTTTCCATTCCTTCATTCCCAGCCAACCAAAAATCAGTGATTGAACCCAAAACCAAAAAAATACTTGAGCGTGACTAACTGTTCCCTACAAGCTTCTGACCAGATGGCTACCAGCTGCACCCCTAGTCTGGCAGAGGCAGAGGAGTGGCTACCGCCTTATTTCCCAGGGCTGGGATTGGGGTGAAGGGATTAGGGTTCAGGGTTCAACTGTCACCTGACACTCTGCCGTTTACTGATCGCTGGATCTTTAGGCCTCTCTGTGTAGGGTGTTCCTGTCAATGAAGGTCCCTTTGCTTCTGTACCGGCTGTGCAAAGCAGCTAGGCTGGTCTCAGTGCAAGCGGCTTGAATTTGAACACTATTGCCAGGTGGCTCCATTCTACGCGCAAGAGAACGATGACGCGGCTCGGGTCCCAATCCACATCTAGATAGCTTCGTCATAGGTTCCTGACACACATTCTCGCACCTGTTGCAAGAGCCTTACCGGAACTCCAGAACTCCCTGTGAGCTTCACAGAAATTCATACTGCCGATTCTTGCCCGCCGTGAGTAAGCCTCGAGGTTGTTGGAGCTGAATGCACGGCTGGTGTGCTCCCAGCTTGCTACGCAGCCCGGGCCCTGTAACTTGCGAGACACGTGTTTCGTATTTTGAAGAATCATCTCTTGGCTGTCTTGGCCGGATTCACTTGCACATGTGAGCCCTGTCAAGCCTGACCATGGAAGGCATTCCTTGAAGGAGACCACAAGCCAAAAGGAGACCCCTTCACAAGAACAACACAGAATCCGGGAAGTCTCAAAGCTCAGCATCGTTTTTGGCCTGCTTCATTTTCAAGAGTTCAAATGGATGACAGGAGCCCGTCATAATCTTTGTCAAGTTCTAGTTGAGGTCGTTTACTATCATCGCTAGATGTCCTTACAGCATCCTGACAAGTCCTCACGTCTGTCCTAATTGTTTTCCCTCTTGATTTTTGAAATGACCTGCAGTCAAACCTCATACCACCTTCGTGCCTCAAAGTCTCGTACATTTTACTAATTCTCTCTATCCTTGGAACCCTAAACACGCTCCCCATAAGCCTGTACTAATGATATCCAAGCCTATAATACCCGGCTAATACCCATACAAGCTGGTAGAGGCCTGTATAATCTCTACATTATCCCCATACAAGCTTATATGACTCGATATAACCCCCATATAAGCCTAGTCCCCAGTGAAGCCTATATCACCCTACAAACCCCCAAGCAAAACACCAGCCCATTTTTCCCTACATAATCCCCATATTTTTTAACACTATATCATCCCCATACAAGCCTGGTAAAACCCCATATAATACCAGTACAGGCCTATATAACGCCATATAATTCCTGTGTCTATATGACCTTTTGTCATCCCCATGATAGGCCTCCATATCCCCATAAAATCCGCATGGAAGCTTGTACAGCCACGTGCAATGCTTATATCTTGAACCCTAAATCCTAAACTCTGAACAATTCCTTCAAAGCCCTTCCAAGATCGACTTGAGGATGGCGCCTATTGCACCTGACAGCCAGCCTGCGCGACCAAATTCTGGTCGACGACCTGCAAAGTAGGGGTGTCTCAAAGTTAGGGGTCCTTTGAGGTTATATAATTGGACAAAGTTAGCGGTCATTCTAGGGGTTTTATACAGGGATAAACCTTGGGTAGCATAGGTAGTATATCGTGATAGTACAGGGCCATGTATTCAAAACTAGGAACATCCAGCCTCGGCTGTAGGCTAAACTTGGAACACCCATCCCGGCCTATATTGAACATGGAGACTCCCTGGTCTTTAAGATCCCAGTGTTTGACTGCAAGAGGACCCCCCATCTTGAGGCATCGCCTAGCGATTTCAACTTGTGTGCTGAGGGGTCTTAGTTCAGGGACCATCAGACATGGGGCTATCTCAAGGGCGCATGTAGAGGCCTGAATAGTGACAAGCTTTGCCAGGTCTATGTTACATCCTTATGATAGGAGGACCGCTAGGAAGATTCATCCTTCAGGGAAATCCGTATGTTCACACTTCTACTCTACAAAGTTGCCCAAATCAGGCTCTGCCCCAAGCGGTGTTCCTGTGTTCGCTGCGCTGTTGATTTTCAATTGCTGGAAGCCCAGCTTCACAACATTTGTTGCCAACGCTTGTGACGCCGCGGACTTCTCCCAATGACTGGCAAATGCGGGCACTCAGCTTAAAGCAATCCAAGCAATACATTGTATAGCTTTATTTATTGCAGCTGCGCAGCTTGTAGTCCAGGGAACAAGGTGGACGAGGGCCTCAGGCTACCGTCGTTGACTATCTATTGGCAGAAGCGAGCGGGCGTGTGATTTAGTGGCCGAGCAGAAAGAAAGGACAGAATCAGGGTGCATCTTCTAAGAAGATGACAGCCCACGAGAGAGAGAGGCGCATGGCGACAACGATGCCTCTGATATGTACATTTGCGCTGCTAAGCTTTTTTTCGTGAAAGCTTACTAGAGCTGAGGACTTCATAGACATGCGGGGGGCGTGATTGAGGTTCAGCAGCAGTTTTCTTTGAAGTCCTCGGAGCCTGGAGCCTCTGCACACAACGGTGTGCAGACCCACAATCCGTGAGAGAGTTCAAAGTTGCGAAGCATAGCAAGGAAGGCTTCTAGTTATGCAATGCTTGTGTAGACGTCCATGCCAACGAGCTTACTGCCCTTCCGCAAAGCTCAGAGAGGCGTGACTGGTGGAGTCTTCCTCTCCCACGAAGTGTGCCCGCTTCTTGAGAAAGTTGACAAGAGGCTGGAATTCCACAGGCACTTGCGATATCAGTGTTCGACCACAAGATGTATGTTGCTGTCCGAAGCTGGCAGTGCCCTGCACAGTGCCTACAGGTGGAAGGAAAGGCTGTCAGAGTCTGCTTCATGCAGCAAGCCTGACCTGAACTCTTTGAACTTGCGGGCTCGCCACCCTGCCCAGATTGCCAGCGCTTGCATCCTAGCCGCGCGGACCCACTTCACGAGAAACAGAGCTGACAGCGATCTGCCAACTCCAGCATGTGCAGGTGCTGTTTCAAGGGCATTCATGCAACTTGTTATAGCTTCTGGTTCCTCTGTAAGCAGCACCTCCCCACCAACTACGATTCCTTAAGTGCGACGAAGACGAAAACACAAACGTTGGGCACAAAGCAAGAAAGCCTTGTACATACCAGCAACTTCAGCATGGGCAGTTGCAGCACGGCATTGTTATCCCCCCTACCCTCCTGCTCCCCTGCTTCACCCTACACACGAACTTGCCGGAGTTGTAGCGCCTTATTGATTCCCCCATCCTATGCTCCCACCCTACCAGCAGCAGCTCTGCGGACCAGGCGAGCAGCATGGACGCCATGCCACGTGCATGAGATCGACAACACGTGCGACAACGTCTGAGTGTCAGCCGCCAAGGTTTGCCCCAAATCGTAGCCCAAGACCTGACATCAACATACGGCATGTGGACTGCAACTCATTCGGGAGCAAGCCCGGCAAGCGAACTGTGGAGAAAAGTGCTTTGCTTTTGGACGAGTTTCCTGTTAAGTGCAAAGAAAGATCACAGCTCGCAGCGTGCTTCTGGCTATGGCGGCTTACACTGGGCTTACAACAGCCTCACAATAGCCCAGTCAAAACCAAACCGGTTGTATACTGCGTGCTGCCGCTTTAGGATCTCAGCGGACTGCGACTGGTAGAAAGAAAGCAGCGGAGACTAATGTGGTTGTGCAGCTGCGAGAACACCCAGGCAGGAAACGGAGAAGATTGTGGGTTTAGCCCTTCACTGAGGGTGGTGTAGCTGCAGGTTTTGGGTGTTGCTGCAGCATCAGGTGTCGGAGAGCCACCTGGAGATTGCCACAGGGCCTGCGAATGAAGAGGAGAACCAGGAGCATGCGGTGTCTTTGCGCTTCTGCTCAGATGGGTAATTACTTCCCAAGACAAAGTCCCCCTCTGTACATCCAACAAACATGCATATAGCCCTTAGCCTTGACTATGGAGACACCAGAATCGGCGTTCATTGAGAGTTCACGGAATTAGCTTGCTGATGCATAGAGACGTTTGACCAGAGGGCTGCATTTTGAGGGCTGAATGCCGTGCCACGTCTCTCCAAGTTCCCTCTCTGGACACAGGTTCATCTCGTCCAGTGTATACATATATATACACATACTATAGATATATATATATATAGTACCCTGCCCACCAAAAGGCTTCTCCTCACTCATTCTTTGGCACGGAACATTTGAGCTCCAGGATCCCCACATGGCGCAGGACATCTTGGGGAAGGCTCAGGGTGACTTGCAAGCCGACCCGGAGGAGGCCAGGATGGCCAGAGCGCTGGACATGCGTTATCTCGCTACCACTACTACTACTACTACTACTGCTACTTGTAGCATAGATTCTTGTATTGGGAAACAGAAGAGTAGGGCAGCCAATGAGGTGTCACAAGGTCGCAGGCGACCTGCTGGGTATGTACTGCTGAATGTGGTATGCCCTTGCTAGGTGCAGTATTCCACATCCGCAGATGATCTCCGAAATAATGGCGGAGCAAGCGCGCCGGGCGCCTCTGAGAAGGATCCGAGCAAGACCAGCGGTCTGATCAGCAAGATCGAGTCCGGGAAATGGGAAGTGCCTTGATTCATTGATGGATCGACAGGAACAGCGTGATCGCTTGCTGTTGGCAACCCTCTTTGCTTTCACTTACGCCAGGTCATCCATCACGACGATGGGATCAAGATGGAATATCTTCCCAGCAAGTATGTTCCTAGCGGGGCGACTTACAGGGCACGGGCAACGATCGAACTGCCCATGACTGTTGAAGACGCATCATGTCTGCAGCGGAAGCGTTGATGATATGGCTTACCTTAGAAGACACAACAGAAGAATTGGGGATCATTCTGGCTTGCTTGCCATACTCGTATGTCAGGTGGATATTCATTGAGCTTAGAAGCTACTCCGCGAGTATTGGAACATTCGCAGTGAACCAATGGGGTCCGTCTCTACTTTTCCAAGTCAAGCTAGCAAGGAGCAGGCCACGTTGCCCACAGCTCGCGTAGAGTAATCCGGCATTTTGGCGGATGACACTTTGGGATGATGAAGGGGGCTCGGGAAAGGGACGGGTTAGGGCAGTGTACTGATAGGCAAGACTCCATAACTTCCCTCAAAGCAGATGTCAGGGCCCAAGGGGAGGTCTTCGGAATGATGTCAGTTGCCGTCTTTAGATTCGAAGCAACTTGGAAGCAGCTCTTCCTTAGCTTTGGAATTCTTGGGAGGCCTCTTAGCCGCAGGATGGCAGCTCAGGCACTCCTGTGTTTCATGGACTTCTCTTCCAACAAGCTAAAGTATGCCCGTGACTACAAGGACCTTAAGACCGTCAAGGTGGTCCGTTGTACTGGCACGCTTCCGGGGCAGCTGCCCGAGGAAAGCAACTCGCAGTGGGCTTCAGGACAAAGTGAACTCGGTTCTGCTTTTTGGTCTTTCTGCTCTTGAGCTGTCCCTAGCCAAATCCAGATGGTTCTGTAAGTTCAGTTTGTGAGGACGTGGCCTCCTTAGCTCAAAACACATGTCCCATGATGTCCCGGACACGAGTAGATGCGCGAAGTCCAAGGCATCGTTGTTGCGACTTTGAACTTCGAAGGCTTCTTGTGGTTCCTGAAGCCGTTCCTACCTTCGAAGGTTACCCTGCAATGTACCATTGAAGAGGATCCATCCTGTCCCGGGCGCTATGATTGGTCACAGCAGACCCTGGGAGCAGACGGAAAGCCCGATGGCCGCAACAAAAAAGCTGGCAGCATTCAGTTGCACCCGTCTGGGGACGCTGGAAGGTGTATGATCTCTTCCCTCAGTGAGGTGGCTTGTCAGAGCAGGTGCTACAGTGCTACACGTACAAGCGTTTGGACTACTTTGCTGAATGACAGCTGAGGTTCCATCGTGGCTTCCAGTGTGGGTGTTGAAGTACGCGGCACCCAAGACCAAGACCTACTTGGGTGAGTACACAGACAGATACCTTGCTTACAAGAAGCAGAGTGCTTCCGCTTAAAAGCCTGGACGTCGGTAGCTTTGGGCTATGTTTTCAAAGGGATGTGCTGCAGGGTGTGTGGGAGCAGGGTATACCTACTGCACGTTCGATCTTTCTAAGCCGTTAAAAGCTGAGAAGGACTTCCACTGTGTTTGGGTTTTTTACTTCCTCCGGTGGATACTAAAAGTCCTGCATGACCCTAAATACCCTAAACCTTGGGAATAATGGTACTATAGTATACTAAGGTCATGCAGGATTTCTCGCACACCTTTGTACACCCCAAGATGTTTTCATAGGTTGCCTTGTGGGCACAGCCAAAAAGAGGCTGGGCACCGCGGCAGACAACCAAGTACCCCTTCATACCGAGGAGAGGAGGAAGACATGCTTTCTTTTCAAAACTGTCTGGTGCCTAGTGCTTAGTTGGAACAAGCGAAGGGATCCTCGTAGCAATATTTCTCAACACGATCACTCAATTCCCCCCACTACCGGCTAAGTGCCAGGGCAAGATGGTCCGTTTCAGCCCCTCAACCCTTTTCAAGTGAGGAGTGCTTCTGCAGTCTCCTAGAGGATTTTCACTATTGTCAGTATTTCTATGATCGTGTAACGTTAGGGAATTACCAAAACGTATTGTTTTGACTGTAGGTCTAAGGGGACAACAGACTTATCAACAAAGTGTCAGGCCTCCAGGCTTGAGAATACGGAAGTGGGTATGCCTTTGCACCTCCCTAAGTTGCAGCATTATGGGTCCATCTTTGCAGCGGGTTTGATTCCTAGCGTAACGCGGGTTCCTACAGGAGTTTCTGCAACTTGAGGAGAAGTACTTTAGGCCTACTTCCACGTTGTGGATCCACTGGCATGAGCTCCGTGGTCTCCAACTGCCTTTGCCTCTGCGAATGCGAGAGGTGCGAAACAGTCTGAAGCGAATTCACCTCGTGGGTCATAGGAGTTTCCAAGAAGTTGGGGCCCTCCGCTGAACATCTTCAGGCAAGTAGCATTTTGAGTACGTCTCCGAGGTCCCCTCATTCACGGAAACCGCCATATGGAAGTTTAAGGCTCTGGCGCGGTCGGCCGGCCGGCAAATGTGATCAGAACGATGCATCTGGAAATAGAATACATTTGCCTCACGCTGATGTGCTTGGTTTGTTGCTCAGAGCACGGGGGACACAGATCCCTGATAGCGCGTGGATATTTTGGGTACCCTCAGAAAGAGTAGCACTCGCGAGCTTCACGGCTGCAAGAGTTCAGAAAGGCATTGATTGCATTTCCACTGGTTATCTTTACCCATGCGGCATCACGCGGCTGTGATAGCGTCAAAAAAGCAAAGCGCAACACCCAACATACGGCTAAATCCACTTAACGTCTCAACTTGGTAACGTTGAGCAGAACACATCGATGACGGAAGCCCTTCGTGGCCTGTCACATGCGTTTCCCTTTGGTAAGGTCTGAAACCTGACCGGCTGTTCTCATGGCTACCTAACCTCAGCACAAGCAACAATCCATGTATCCTGTGGCCCGCGGACGACCACTTCCCATGATCAATCTGGGGCGCATCCACAGACGGGTGGGGTCCTGGGCATTCCAGAGCATGGTGCCTGATTGAGAGAATTACATGAGACAGCAACAGAGATGAATGTTGCTGCAGAAAACCGAGGCCAGGATTCTTTGAACACTAAACGTCATGGTGGACAATGTTGCTGTCAGGCTCAGAACTGAATCAGCCATATAAACACGCGAATGACCACCAAGACAGCAGAGTTGTAGAACGCAAGTATCCAGCTGAAGCTGCAGCAGGGGGAGTAGCATAAGGTTTGATGCTGCAACACAAGGCCATTGCAGAACAGCAGAACTTTTGCGTTGCGCCTACACTGTGCCAGTCCTAATAATGGAATCGGAGTTCCTGGTCGAAGCGCTGCGCGCTTTTCTCCGACGACGCTTAAGGCATGCCAAAAGCAATTGAATGCACCCAGAGCCGACTGCACCTCTTGGGATGCTCCAGCTGTGCACCTATAAGCGCCGAATCATGGAAGTAGACCGTCAGTACTGTCTGCAAGACGTTGCTACACAGCAATCTTCTGAGCTTTTCTCAGCGAGGCAGCGCGTCTGCCGCAGCGGCAGCAGTTGGACCGGTGGAAGGCTAGTGTGAGTTGTTACCATCAAGAGGTTTCTCAAAGCAAGGATGTCATTCTCCGGGTCTGGAAGGTAGCAAAATCTTAGGGCAATTTGGGTTAAGCTTGGTTTCGAGATACGCATGACTCAGCCCATGACAAAACATGCCCAAACTACAACAACATTCTTACAACACTTCTCCACCCCGCGGAAGGCTAAGCCTGCTGGTGGCGGACTGCGCATTCATGGCTGCCCCACGGCTTGCAGTCTAATCCCTAGATTCCTACATAGTAGCTTCCATTTTTTCCATTATCCCTATATACCTTAGGTTACACCTAAAGGAGAATCGCAGCTGTGGGGCCGTTCAAACGGTAAATCCCGTTTTGGGGCATTCGCTCTTTGAACACTCATTTGGGTTGATACCGCAAATCCTGCATGCCCTGGACTACCCGAAAGCCTGAGGATTATGAGAGTTTAGTAGCATCGGGTCATGCAGGATTTGCAGCTTTAACAGGAAGACTCCAATTTTGAGGCTTTGCAGCATCGATGTTCTTAGGTTTGACAGTCGAGAAAGTTGTCTGCCATGAGTAGCTGTCCTAGCATCGGGCAGCCATCTGGAAAGCCTGGAATCGACGGAAAGACCTTGATCATGATGAGCGACCAATTGCTCGGCGTATGTGTCCCTTTTCAAGGGATATATGTATATATAGGTATATATATATATGCGTTATATAGGGTTTATGGTTTACGGAAACCTAAGGAGCAGATTGAATCCCGGCGTGTCGGATCGGGTTTGAAATGTTAGCATGCGCTGAACGTTCTGAAGCTTGATTGTTGAGCTCTCTGACGCCAGTCATCCAAGCAACCAGCCATCGTAGCATTCTATATACCGTTATATACCCTCAAAAAGTATGTGGGTAGGACCCCCTATGAGAGGATAACTGATGCATCAGTCGGGGTGTGCCCTCGCAGCCTGCTACAGCAGGTAGAACAAGGATTCGCTCGCATCGGGCCCCCAACATAGAACAAAAACGTGAACACCACGAACAACGGCATTTTTATGCCGTTTTCTTCCACATTATGGGTCCCCTGAGGGAGCCCAAATGAATGCCCGAATAAATGGAGAGCTTAGGGGACCCATTCCAAGTCTTGTGCTCAGGAGCCCTATGCATTCCTGGTGCATGCGTTGGCTGGCTACCTTGATGAGCCAGGCCCACCTTTGGTGCAACCAGCAGGCAAAGGCTGCAATTGGATCACACAGGCAGGGCTGTGTCAAGCCTGCTGCATTGCAGGGCTCTCTGGGGATTGTCCAGGGATTCGTCTGGGACCAGATAGGACCGACAGATTTGCAGGGTTTGGTGGTGCATCTAAATCAAGGTAGCCCGGCTGTTCGGATCCTTTACGTTCCTTATCAACTGGATCTCACATTTTGAAGCGTGGTAGTTTAGATCATTTACTTGTTTTGAGGGTGGTGGCTTCAGCACCTGAAACTACCCTGGTCTCATTTGGGAGGAAGCTTGCAATTACTCTGCAAATCTCATGTCCCAGGGCTCATTATGAAGCACCGTGCTGCGGTGATTGTAATCAGCTGGTTGTTTCTTGGAATGGGGCTGCATGGCAGAACTGCAAAGGGGCTGCTGGCGGCTTGACCTCTCCAGCGTTGACCATATGGGGTTTCCCAACACTGAGGGGTACGTTTTTGGTGATCTTTCTAAAGGACTTGTGCTGTATATGATGGGTTTATTGGGGTGCCCGATATATGCAAAAACAAGAGGACTACGCCATCAGAACCATCATGGTTCATGCTGATGCCAGTGTCGATCCATGTTCTCATGATAGCCACAGCCCCTTTGCTGATGGCAGTACCTTAGCCTTAAGTATTCATCTTCCTGGTGCAATGCGCAGTCTCCCCATAGGAGAGTTCATAGACCGCCCCGTATCCGGAGCCAAGAAAAACTTTCTCCGCAAATGTCGCATCATGATAGAGCCTACGAAAATCCCTTTGCTAGCCCAAATCCCAAGTTGTTCAATCCCCTGCAGCAAATTCTTTTCAGGCTTTCGGAACGCTGGCACAGAGGGTGAAGCCCGTCAGGCCTAGACTTTCTGGTTCGCAAGGTGTGGATCACCAACAGCACTGCAGTATGCGCGCATAGATAGTCCTTTGTTTTGATTCGTGTGTTGACTATCCCCGCCGCATAAAGATTAGTAAGTGGACGGTGACCAGGGTCTGCATTGTCTACGCGTCTCTTAAAGCTTGTCCTCCTGGTTCTGGAAGTGGCCAAAGAGCATGCTGTGACAGGTCAGTGCAAAGCTTTGACCAGCCTGCTCTGCCCAGCAACTGGGTAACGGCCGCCTTCGACGCCTTGAGTGGGCAGACGGCCTCTTGTCAGTGTCAGTAGAGTCAGGAGAATTTCTTAGGAATACAGTTGGTAAGACCATCAATGAAGACCATGTCTCATTTGCTCTGCAGTCTTCAGGCTGGAGTAGCGGTTTCATATCGGGTCGCGTAAGTGGACCTGCAACAGATAGAAGTGCAGAGGCGGGGTTGGCAAATGCTGTGGCAAAGTCAACGGCATGTTCGATCTCCCAGCGGCCCCATGCTTAATTGGGAATACTTCCTGGCCGTAATCTTCCCTGTAAACACTCTCCCACTCCCATCGAAGTGAAAGTTGCGAAGCGTCGCATCAGCCTAAGCTGAGTACACCGCTTGTGAATGAGCCAGCAAGGTGAGTGGTGACCTGGATGATCCCTCACAGCCAAGCAGCGATGCGCATGAAGGAGGTTTGGTATGGTATCTATGTATCTACCTCTATGTACCCCATATACCTACGCACATTTGTTCTGATATGTATATGTTTACACATATGTTGTACGAGCATCGACGTAGTTGTAGTTCTATAGAAGCTTGGTGAGTATGTGTGTAGATCTGTATATAGATACACAATAATTATATGGATTTTGCGAAGTGTGTGTATAGACGCTGGCCCACCGATCCACCACTTCGCGCACCCTGGAGAGCTGGACAGGCTGGATCTCTGACGCGCTGCTGGCGGCCAGCCATGACGAAATCTGAGCACACTGAAGCTCGGCAGAAGGAAGTTGTGGCATTGGCTCCGGTCATGCTCAGTACATCCGCTTGCTTCATGCAATGATGCCCCTGGTGCAACATGACTTCTGGATTGCATGTGAGGTACATAAGCTGGTGAATACGCTTTTGGCGTGCAGGAGGCACATGCAACCGGGAGATTCCTTGTCCTGCCGGATGGGCCTAGTGACCTAGTGAGACGCGCTGCAACCTGCCAACCACTCTAAGTCGGAAGCCCAGTTCTCAAGAGAGCCTTAGTCGGCTTAGTTCCAGCAATGGCGGAAATCTGCGGCAGTGGTGGCTACAAGGCGGACTCCGCACCAGAGCCTGAAGACCTCCTAGCATTCCAGCGCAGCCTGGATGATGCCCTGGCGAGTGCTCTTACCAAGTTCGACAGCATGGGTGCTTACTTCAAGCAAGGCATGCCCGTGCAAGCGGTCGCTGCCATGCTGCAAGAAGAAATCATGCAAGACAAGGACTTCCTGCACTGCACCGCGACACCCTCCCAAGAGGCGCAACTGCGAAAGTTCGTCATGCAGATGGTCGGCAAGAGCTATGGCCTTTGGAAGAAGGGGAATCCTGGTGCAGTAGATGTAAACTCTGGTGAGAACGGTAGGGGTGCAGACGTGGGGCTAGGATGGGCTAGCATTGACAACTATCCCGGGTGGGTTTACGAACAGATCCAGGCGTACCTGACTGCCGAGCCAGGTGAAAAGGCCATGATGAAAAGGCAACTCGAAGCAACGCTGCTTGAAGAGCCATTGTGCTCAGCAACCGTCAAGTATGATGGCACCTGTTTCGGCAAGCTGGACACCGGGGCCCTTTCTGGGCGCAGGCACCTGGTCGGAAAGGCATGTGAAACGTACATCAACACTAGCACCGCCGCCTGCAGCAAGTGTGACATCGGGGTTGTGCGCTCAAAGCTCTCCAGTATCCTTGGCGTAGAACTTGCAGAAGGATCTGTTTGCGTGTGGGGAGAGCTCATGTGCAACCCTGGCTACTACGGCTACCTGGCACGCGGCTTGGCGGAGAAGTGGGTCTGCTTCGGCGCAGCCGTGCAGCTACCAGCCACGCAAGACGACGAGGCCCTTGTGGCATGGTCTAAGAAGCTAGCGCAGCATGGCTTTGCCCACAGCGTCTCTTCTCAGCTCAAAATCCGTCTGTTCCTCTGCCCAACCCTGCGGGAGTTACTGGTACAAGCAGGCTGCCAAGCAGCTGACAATGTTGCAGAGACTACCCATGCCGATCTCGTCTCGAGCAACGCCCAAAGCCTCATAAACGGACACAACGAGGGCATTGTGCTGGTTTTCCGGCGGGCCTGTGGTCAAGCTTCTATTCGGAAGTGGAAGAATTCCGCTGAGGGCCAAGACGTGAGCAAGAAGCATGCAAAGCAGCTTCGAAGCTTGGATGCCCGGAATCTTGCACATGAAGGCCTGCTGCACGCTCGGATTGCTGACATGGTGGAAACCATGATCCAGGTTGCAGAAGCCACAACTGTTGTCCCCAAGATGGGGAGGAAGCAGCTAGCGAAAGCTCCATGAGCTGTGCAGTGGCTGAGCCTTGCAATCAATTATGTACAGTGTACAGCAAAAGGTTCAAGTCACCTGGCCGACGTGAGATCTAAACTTGTGTTCTTGCTTCATGTGCTCGTTGTACGTTTCGACCTCGCGCACCTTCATGCAAACCAGACTGCCCTCTGCACACGCTCGCGGATACTGGCTTGCAACCCTGGGCAATCACACACGACTTGACAAACCTGCGTCTATTGCCCATTTTTGGGGACTTATTCTTCAACTGCTTCCTTAACATGTGCGCGTGACCCGTTGAGAAGGTATCAAGCTTATGGGAAGGATTGATTGTATTATGGGATACCGTAGTAGTCATCCCCTTCTACTAGCTGTTCCTCACCGCGGAGGCCGCGGAAGCCTGGAGAAGACCAAGCTCGATCCACCGGCTGCATGAGATGCACTGTTTGCCTGGAAGTCTTTCACAAGCGGACCTTTCGGGGCCCTAGTAAGATGCAGACGCATCATTGATGGGAGTCTGATTATTGAAGTCTTGTTGTCTGTACAAGTAGTCCTGCAGCCGAAAAACTTCCAGAATTGGGCAGGATGATTAAGAGTCTGCAGGTGGATGTATCTGTTTGCCAGATGCCTGTCCGCACAGACGAGCGTCATCTCTGCCTACAGCTTATATTTTCGTTATGTACATCCGCGTCATCCTTCTGAGAGTGTCAAGGGCGACGCGTAGTTGCATGCTTTCCGAGATGGATTACTGCACCAAAGTCCGGCGAGATTGCAGCCCGCTATTTGTATCGCCGGACAATGACTTCATAGCACCCTTGTTGGCATGGCGGCAAATCCTCCAGACTTGGTGCTTCCGCTGCAAAACGTTGTGGAGGTCAGCTAGAGTGTGTAGTGTATAGCCTCAACCAACGTTCACCTAGCCTATGACCACCTTCTCACTCAAATGTTTTACGAGTGCCCTCCTTCTTGTTTCCATGCATTCAGATGCTGTGGTGGCAGCGCAGTTGAAGGCCTGAAACAAAGGCCTGGCATGGCATCATGGCCCCAGCACAAGCTGTGGCTGCCCATTTTCCTTGAAGTGCCAATTGGGGTATGAGATGCGCCTGGATCTGGAATACCGAACGCTCGTGCAGTGTAAGTCACAAAGGGAATTCGTAGCGGCAGGCAAAATTGCAACTATAGCAATCATGGTAGTGTGTTGCGCAAACGCAGCTGCCAAGTAGCAGGAAGTGCAGAGTGTACTGAATCGAGAGCACTGATGTAAGCCTGAAATACCAGGAATATGGCCCCTGCATGACCCCTACAGGAACAAGTGCAACCCGTACTCCACAGAATCCTTAGTCTAATGAAGCAAGTCCTTAAATCAGTGACAGTGGGGTTGAGATTTCCAGGCCCGGGTGAGACTCTCCACATGAAATCAGCGTGGCTCTTCCTGCTTGGTTTCTCTGTATTGCAAATCTCCTGCGGGTCAATCATTTTATCTCAATTATGACGGGATTCGGGTGCAGGTTTGTCTAGTAACAGTACAGGGCAAGCTTTACAATCATGAGGTCTCTCCAGTTACCCCGTCCCGGTCCTTGGATAAGACAGTGGAGGGTGCTGAAGGCCAGGTTTTCTTGTTTCTGCACTTTGCGGGCCGAAAGAACAGGGCCCTAAACCCTAAACCCTATGTAACCCCATTATAGTAGTTTCCATCTTCTTTTCCATTATCCCTACATAACCCCAACATAACCTCTATATAATCCCTATATAATATAGGAGTTCCATTTTCTTTTCCATTATCCCTATGTAAACCCCAGTATTCTATGGTAGCCTCGGGGACGAACAGAGTAACCAAGGCGGGTCCTCGAGCCACGGCAGTTGCGAGCAAAAATGGCTGGTGGCATTCGTAGCAGGAACTGGGATTCGGAATTTTGGGGTTATATAGGGATAATGGGGAAGAAAATGGAAGCTACTATATTCTATAGGGATTATGTAGAGGTTATTTTGGGGTTATATAGGGATAATGGAGAATGGAATCTAGTATAATGGGGTTACATCGGGTTTAGGGTTTAGGAGCAGGCATAAAGGCAAAGGATGCAGCTTTGAAACCTGTAGGTTGGGTAGCACTGTTGAGGGAAGCACCATACTGATTTAGGGTTTAGGGTTTAGGGTGATGCTCTTAAGGACCATGGCAGCTGATGACCATTATACGGATGATAACAACGATACCCGGAACCCTCAGCGACGAGCTCTACAGGTCTTCGCTTTCGCGCTGCTACCATTGGGCAAGCTCACTCCTCAGTGCCTCATGTCGCTCTTTAACTGGGTCGCTGTTAAGGAAGTTATTTTTAAATTACAGTTCTGGGGAAACGGTGATATGTATATATATATATAAATTACTACAAGTACCAATTATGGTAACTTAATTTAAGTTCCTCAACAGCAGCCCAGTCAAGCGCAAGGATTTTCAAGGATAGTGCCAGGCAGGTATAGGGCTGCAATAGAAATAGTCGACTAGGGATGGTAACAGGGTTCTCTCACAATTGTGGACGCCCTTTCGGGGATCCTCATTGTTGGTTCGTACTTTTAGCGGAGGAAGATGTACCTGAATCTTCAGAAGTACCGACAAAGCCGCACAGGATCTGCATAAAAGGAGGGGTCATTTCAGCTGGCCCTTGTCATGAAAGAAGGCATCCAGCAGCCCAAGATTATGAGGATCCTGATTGCGAACTCTCATGTAGGACTATGATTTGAGGATCTCAAGAGTAAATGAGATGAGCCCACCCGAGGTGCGCGCCGACATTGGAGTTCCCAGCGCCGAACAGCAGCAGTGGCGGGTGCGACCGGCGCGGAGTTCTTGCGTTGGGGCGTCATGAAGGGTCGTGTGGGTACCGATGTTGGATTCAAGGGGTCATGTGAAGACTCGTTCATAATTGTCTAGAGCCCTTTGCGTTGAGCACTTGGGGTCGCTGTTGGGAAGGGTTCAGATGAAGGTTTCTGGCAATTTCATGCGTATATATATATATATGTAAATAATCTGTACATGAATGCATATACATGTATACAAATGAGCTTGTGCTTCAGAGAGAGAGGTTTCTGGTATCATTGCTGCGGTGGCCGCAGGGTGATTGCGTGCTGTTATGCTTAATTACTTGGGAGGCATCCCCAGCTGCAATTAAATTTCTCACGTTCGCAAGCACCATGGGAGCAGCAGTACCTCGGTACCTGCGCGTTGAGAAGAATAACAGCTGCTATGGGTGGGCTGCCCAGCTACAGTGCATGCTATCCCACTTACCACGTCACACAGTTTTCTTGGTGTTGAAGTCTGCCTAGAATAGCATGCTGCTCACAGCAGCTGCCCGAGAAATTTTGAAGTCAGGGATCGCACTTGTGTTCAAACAACTCCAAGTACATTGATTGTCTAAATCAAGGCGAAGTGACTCTGTTTGTAGCCCAGATTCCTTCAAACTTGTTCGTGTTGTGCTCAACTCAATAGTCAGCAGTAGCAGTTGAATCTGGAGTCCCTTCAACTGAAGAGTGGTTTTCAGCAAGCAAATCTTGTTTCGAATGATATATAACGCTGAACCGCTTGGATGTTGGAGTAGATTTGCAACTCTGCTTTTGTGGCAAGGAAAGTGATTTTCAAGTGCGATGTCGATGGAGATGTGCCGTCTCGGTTGCAATGACCTGATAGCTTGAGAAAGACCACCAAAGCATTCCCAGTTCCCGATCTGCTGGCCTATGCCAAGTTTTCGTGCTATTGAGTAGAGGCCTGGTTGATACTTTAGGTGATGATGAAAAATCAGCATCCAACAAGATCCAAAAGTACTGCTCACATTTTACTATCGCTTCCATTCATGCTCTGCTTGCTTGTCAGGTGGCTAACCTTCGAGGGCGTCTCGGTGTCCATGCTGCTGGTCACCCTGAGCATTCATTGAGAGCACGGAAGCAGCTGCTAGAAGGAGCCTTTGCTTCTATTCAATTTGCTTCTTTGTAAAATGGATGTGTCTTGATAAATCCTGCTGGGATTGCTGCTATTTTCGGTCTTAGCCAATACGAAGGAATTACAGCTGCTTCAGCCTGCCCAGTAGTGCAGGTCTTAGCCAAGGGTCAGAGAGGTTACCCATAGGCAGCCTGCAAGTTACCACGACCAGAGCCAGAAGAGTCTGAGAGACCTCTGGTGGCTAGGATCCTGCAATGGACGCTGCCGCATTTGACAACCCTGCCATTGCCTGGCAGTCTCATGACCCCAGCAAAGCTGTAGACGCCAGAAATTCTAGCCAGTGAGGATGAGCATTAGCCATGTGGCTTGCTATAGATGAAATATAGAGCAGCAGAAGGAGGTTCTGGGGTGGGGTGACTTCAAGCCAAAACTGGCAGACAACTTGTTGCCACTGGTTTCGTGTGCCCTGTACATTACCAGTTATGTTGGAGTGGGATTGTTTACAAGATGAAAATGCTGCCAGGTTGGTTTGGCATACTGCGCGCTTCGAGCAGCGTTGACTGGAGTGCGCCAGGCTGGATCAGGATATTGGACTGCTGCACGATGTGTGTCCCTATCTGGCTGGCTTGTATAGGGAAGGGCTTAGAATCAAGTAGGCTATTGCAGCATAGGAGGTTCTCTAGATTAAGGGTTTGTTGGCTGCTACAGTACGGACCAAATATTTAGTGTACACAGGAGAGCCTGATTGCGTAATGCCCTATGAGCAGCACCAGCCGGATCCCGTTGAACAATTTCTAGAAACAAAGGTGCGCGTCACGAGACTTATGATGGGTAAGAGCTAGGACCAGGACATGAGCGAGGACATAGTTTTAGTTTGCTGCACGTGCAGCTGTGTAGCCTTTCTGTACAGTTCAAGATCTTGCAGAGGTTCTGTCTCCCTTTGTTACTTTGATCCATTTCGACCCAGCCCATGCGACCGGTCGGCCAACATGCGCGCACAACTTGAGGGTCTCCAGAAGCTTGTCAGGTCACTTGCCGGGATCCTCCACTGCACGCCCAACGGAAACGGGATTGAGCGACTATGGGCCAAGCGGCAAAAAAATCACGCAATCACTTGTGCTCTCACGGCTTTCTCGGATTCCTTAACTGCCATGACAGACTGCATAGGTCATGCATGCCAGAGATGTATTCTATCCGTATCCTCTCAGGCAACCCCGGCTCGAGCACTTGGCTTGCGTGCCGGTATGCAGGACCATGACCAACAGTAGCAGCAGCGTCCAGGCCAGGCAAGCTAAGAGTACGCTGAAGGCGGCTTCTTTCGTCAGCATGGCGATGCCCAGCAGATGTTTACTGGCCACTTGGGCCGTGTTTCTGCCTCTTGGTTTGTGTAGGGCAGCACTTTGGTTTCGTGGAGCTTGATGGATAAGTAGCCCCTCAAACAACCTTAACCCCCAAATCGTTAATCCCTAGACAGCCCAAACCCCCTTGGCCCTGATTTTTTTTCTCCGACCATTGTTAGCAGGCTGCAGTGCTGCGCGCAGCAGCCCTCCAAAGACTGGTGCGCAACTGGTCTGGAGGTCCCGCACACCTGAGTTGCACGGAGTAGTGTCCCCCTAATATAATATACTGTAGTATGATATTATCAATAATAGTTATAGCAAAATATGATATTATATGATATAGTATGATAACTATAGTAGAAGGCATCCCAAGCCTTCTTCGAAGTATTTAAACCACCTGCGCTAAAGGGGCCAGGTGTTTTGTTGTGCCGTCCTTTCAGTGCTGTGCCATTCCACGTCATGGTAGCTCCTGGTAAAACTTCACTGGTGGTGATCATCATGGCTGCTGCTGCGACGCTCTTACCGGTATGGTGCATAAGATGAGCAATAATACTAATAGTATTACTAGTAGCAAGACAATACCAGAAATAGGAATAATAGTAGGGAAAATCACCAGGATAGTAGGAAGAAATGTAATCTGGAGGTCCCGGACTTCAAGGATGATGGAGGTACCCCGAGCGCAACCTGCATGCAGAATGGTGGGTCTGGAGGGGGAAATCTTATGTAAGCAATGTAAAGGTGGGTAGTGTTAGGAGTATGCTTGTGCAGACCTGATTTGGATCCACCAGCCGTACCCCCACTTCACCTACGTAGCTATCCACCTGAAATTGTGAGGAGTAATGTTGCAATGTTGAGAACAGCAATGGAAGTTGGTAGCACTATTAAACGTTGAAGTCATCCCCTTATTACCAAAAACTAGTGCAAGCAAGTGCGCAGTGTTCAAGGCATGATCATCGTGTAGAGGTTGCAGGATTTTGAGCGGCACGCCTTCATGCGACATGCTGTTGTGTGAGTCTGCTGGGGCGATGGACAGAACAGCTGCAGGTGGATGTCTACGTAGTCCAGTCGCCGCTGTTTTCCACGAATCCGCACATTGGAAAGACGCTCGCCTCTATTCTCAGCCTGTACGCTGTCATGGGAAGAAACTGCAAGAAACTGTTTCCAACATAGTAAGAATTTGTTCATACCTTGTATAGCGAGTAGGTAGGTCTTCATTCTGGGGGGATCCCTGCAAGGTTTGTTCGTAACACTCTATCTTAACCAGGACATTTCTCCCGGGGATGCACACACGTGTTATAGCTGCCACTGTGGTGCTTTTGCAGCAGTGCTTGATCACGACCAGCATCGCATGTAGTAGTAGACCTGAAGACGCCAGAATTCTGAGGGTCGATATATTCAAGTCTTCTCTTTAACATGGGAGCTTCTCAAAACAAGCCCATATGACCATTCGACCTGCAGCACATATTTCCTGAAAGCTCTAGGCGTCCCAACTGTGCAAGGCCATGAGCACGAAATCCCAACCCCAAGCCCTAAGCCCTCAACCTGAACGCCTTCAAGAGTAATGTGGGTGCCTGAACGAACACCTTCTGACTGACCCCTTTACTCACTCCTCACGGCATCCAGATGAACGCTCCCAGCTCCAGCCGGGGGACTTAGCCCCGGCGTATGACTTAACGAATATTATACCTGTATTCATCCTTCATGCTATTTCCTCCCTGCTGAGCCACTGATAACCCCTTTTATTACCCCAAACTCGTGCTCTTGGTGGGCCACTGAGGAAGCTGGGCTGGTTTGGCCTTTACCACACGGCCATGGTCTTCCGCCAGGAGATGCAAGGTCGCCAAAGGGGGATCTCTTAAAGAGAAGTACATACCTTTGGATCCAGGGGATACATGTGAAGCATAAAGGGATTTTAAAAGATGCTTCTTGGGAGTAGAACGTTCATTGTCAGATGATCTGGAAGCGTTGCAGGTTGTAGGGATGAGAACAGGTGCGGTCTTGACATGCACGTGTCGCTTTCAGTTCGTTGTATATCTGCTGGCATTTATGGGCACCATCTTCTTAGATACACTCATATGCTGCTGTTGATGATGACCATGCTGCTCATGATGATGATGGTGACGGCGACGGCGGCAGCTTTTCTCATGATGCTGGTGACGATAATGATGATGAGAGTTGTATGTAATAGCTGGCCAGTATGCGGGATGCGGATACGCTTATCATTTTCAGAGATCACCTGATCCTGCCCGTCATCAGGTGCTAGGGTTGCAGCAACTGAGCCAGAAAGGAATCCTACTCACTGCGACCAGAAATAATACCATCAATCACTACGTTCCAATTTTATGACCACTTTCAGCCACATCCGTGTCGTGTCAGTTGTCGCCTTTCGTGATTAGCCATCTCGGCGTTTCATTTTCAGACGCTGAAAGCGTCTATGTGTACATGTGCATTTGTCCAATCATTGTCTTGGATCTCCGTAGGCGCAGCACCGCAGAACTGGACCATCGAGTTTGACTCTGCACCAGCCTTATACCCGTGGTTGCGTGCGGAGGGTAAAGCTGAGGTATGCAGCAATTTTCAGCCCTTGTTCTCTTCCGCATATGAAGCTTGATGCATCTGTAAGTTCTTACTTTAACTTCTGGTTTGCACCAAGCACCCGGTACCGTTGTGGACCTAGGTTACTAACGTCCTTGGGGCCGTCCTCCCAAAAATCGAAAACGAGACCTTGGCCTGGAACAACGATGCCCGATACTGCGTGACTCCCGGGATCTTATGGGGCGAGGCGCTGTGAAGCTGTCGACCATGCAAGTGCCGAAATTTGCATTCCCTAAGGGGGTCTCTCACTTGATGCGTGTCCCGAAACCAGGACTTTTTTAATTTGTGGAGTGCATACATTGTTGGAGCTTGCAATCTGGAAGCCAACGCGCACTGCCTTTGCGGTCAGGCTCATTGGAGCAAGATGCTACCTGGCTCGCAAGGGAAGTGCGAATGAAAGATGAATTCCTGTAGCAGGCTGCCCTATGGCAAGGTAAGTTTTGTTCTCTGAACTAGGCCAACTGCGGTGGGTTGAAGCAAAGATGGGCGCGAAAAGATAAAAAGCGCTACAAACAAAACTGATTTCGGATGGTGCGCAGCTGCATGATCGCTTCCTTACTGCGACGATGTGCGCAGAGCCCTAAGGAAGATAATCTCAGTACTATGGCTATTTTAGTCGGCACGGACTTTATAGATAAACTTGTGTGCTCATGCTGTCACTTCAGTGCCTGCAATATTGCCACGTTTTGGAAACGCCACGCGAGACCACGCGACAGCGTATCTACACGCCTTCTCCCATGCCAGCCTGCATGCACGTCTCCTAAGCTTCAACTCCCCAGATCAGTGCCTCTAACCCAGGCTCTAACCTCATTCCCGACCTCACCACACCCAAAGGTAAAGCAGCCCCAAACCCCTTGTATGACGTTCGCACGTAGACGCTGTGAGCCTGCACAGAGGTTTCTGATGATTTCAGGTATGCTATGCTTGAAGCTTGGATGTTGGTCAGGATGATGTCAGGTACAATGTCAAGTGCAATAGTGCGTTTTTTGAAGAAGAGCGGTTTAGCTGCTCATCCGGAAGGGACGTCCGTTGACATGGCAAATGTCAGGGGAGCGAGGCAGCCTGGGAAACACTCATCCACCAGGAATCGGGGACCCGGGAATCGGATGTATTTTCACAGATGAATTAGCTTGGTCCGCACTTGTCCTGGCTATTGAACGCCTGGCCGGCAAGGCTGCGTCCTACCATCAAAAACACACACTCAGGTTCGACTTGGCCTTGCAGCTGACCAGCAGCCAAGCGAAAGAAATCTTCACCCAGTTTATCCCATCTGCTGCTTTGCTGGATCATTTTAAAGGCTTGCTCTGGGAAAGTCTAGAGAATCTATTGCAATCTAGCTGGTTTATTATGTGTTTAACAGGGTTGAGCTTCCTCTCTTCTCTCGTAGATGGATGCGCATGCACATGATACAGTTCAGTGGCTCAGCAGTAGAATGAAAGTCATCACGCGTCATGCACCTGCCTTACCTTGCTTCATGGATTCCCCTACCAGGCCCTACCACCCACTCAATTCGCCTTAAGGATGGGGGGTTTGTATGAAAACATCATATTTGCCATCGACTTGCTGCACTCACTTTGGCCTTATGGGGAGACATCCCATGCTTGGGGGAATGGTTTGCCTTTCCTGGCATGTGTGCTAAGGTGAACCGCACAGCGCATCACAACCGCCCGCTGTATCAGCTGTGGCTGGGTTGCTGTTAAGGAACTTAAATTAAGTTAGTGTATTGGGGAAACCCTATTATTTACGGTAACTTAATTTAAGTTCCTTAACAGCAACCCAGGTGGAGGGTAGTCCGGCGGCAGCCTGAAGAGCTTCTGGTCAAGGACTGCATGTCAGATGCACGGAAAGGCGCTAAACATGAGAAAGCACGAGGGACGCCCCCTAGAGGCTCCAGCGGCTAGTCCTGCGATTCCATGTGAGCCAGAACCTAGGGATTGCACAGGGTTCGTCTTATAGGCCGCCTTATTCTGGGGGATACTAGGAGTGTAGACCAGAACTCATGTGGCTTCGGGGTGTGGCATTGGATGATGGAATCGTGGAATCCGAAGTGGCTATGGAAGCAAGTCTAGCGAACTCACTGCCATTTCTGATCTTGTCCGAAAGCCAGCTTATGATCCCTTAGTATCAAACCTGGCCCCGCAGATTCCAACATAAAAATGAAAAAATGCCCAAGTAGAGTCTGCATATTCAAAACATGGAGCTTATTGATCTTGGATTGCCATCACCAGATGGACCGAAGGACATCACCTGCGGTGATGGTATCAGCCACTCAGCGAGACATGCGAGCAGTAATGCGGGGCAGCAATATCAATCATGTACCCATCCTCATGAAAAACGTCAGTCTGGGGTAATCTCATGCTGCAGCGTTATGGCTTCTTCTTCCTTGTCAGCAGAAGAAGTCTGTCACCTGTGCTTCTGCTGTTGAATTCTTGCAGAACAATTGAATCGTTATGGGCACTGTGCAGCAAGATTGCCAATAAGGAGTAAGATTCTTTTTCGCTCGCAATTGTTGCAGTCATACTCCGAGTTGCGTGTAAAAGTGATTCCTCCTCATTGCCCAGCTGAGACTGGATCCTTCACTTTGCGACCACCAAACTTGGCGTGTCGGTGACGCCCGGCTTTGAGCTGAAGTTTACTTCCATCCTCTTCCACGCCGACAGGCCCCATTCTCACTGGTTGAAGCCTAGGAAAATGACTGTCGCAAACATCGTGTTAACAGATGTTAAAAGTATTGATTCGCCTAGTATTAAAGGCTGCCGCAGCTGCTGGTACTAGTCGTGTTTGCATTCGTGGTCATTGTTGTGGTGATCGTGGTCATGTTCATCTTAGCAGAAGCCGTGCCGTAATCAAAAAGGGTTGCCAGCCACAAGTACCGCCATCACAAATACCACCGACCCCACCACAACATACTGAACATGATGATAGCATAGGATTGCTCACAAAGGCAAGGAGCAGGCTAGATATACTCTTGCGGTGGCTTCAGATCCATGTCCATAGGGAGCAGCCTACATCTACAGAAGAGCTTAAACTTGCCACCTTCATTTCTGACCCCAATGAAGCCTGAAGCACCCCTAGAGCCCGAGACCTACACCAACCGCAGAACTCAAACCCTAAAGCTCAACTCTTCACTCCAAAAATTAAAGCTTATACCCTACACCCTTAATCCGACATCATCACAATGATGGCGCTGGAGGCTAAATCCAGTTGAAGTGGGCGGCGAGCAGTGGCCAGACGTTGTGAAGTACTTCAATGGCTGCTCGGATTGGAGGTTGAGGATTCGCTTCGGGCCAAACAAGTATAGGGCTCAGGACAGAGGAGAGTATGATGCTTCATGCCTAATTTCAGCTGTTGATTGGTCCTTTATTGTGCTTGGCCTCGCCAAGTTTAAGCTATGATTGCCGCCATTGATCCTGTGAATTCCGGTGAGTAGGTTGCTGTTGTTGGTCTGCCTTGAGGGCCCATGATTTCTGGAAACTGTCGTATTACCCCCACAGTGAGCCCATAAGAGTTGAGTGGCACAGCCTGAGGCATGATTCACGCCATGGAGTCGAACCAAACGTCCCTGGAGCGCTTATTGGATGTCTTGCACCTGATGCCGATCCATTTCGTCTACGATGGCAACGCCAAGGCACGCAAGCGCAACCCGCCGTTGGAATCCACAGGGTTTCAACAGATTGTATCAAGTCTCGTTTTGCCTCATTGCATTCAATGCATCCTGTTGGATCACTGTAAACTGCAGCTTAGTGAGCAGGAAGCAGATTCGCCATGACGCCCGCCAAACAATTTGATCTAAGCTAAGCTTCTGCGCAGCTGTGTGAGAACGCTTTCCCCGCAGCACAAGTGAGCAAAGCTGGACTTAGCGGCTCAAGCACACTGGTGTCATGCAGGGTACCCCGCCGAAGGCTGGCCTTTGGCCTCATGAGAAGGCACTCCTAGAGTCTGGGGTCTTGGCTGAGATCTCCCATCGGGGAGCAAGCTCCATCCTTCTGCAGGCACGACACTTCAACGATAAGGACATGTGCTTAGAGTCTGAGAAGTTGGAGGTTGAGAAGGTGGAGGAGGAAGTTGAGGACCAGCAGGAAATGGTGAGGATCTACCGGCACATGACTGACAAGGAGTGCTCGTTTCTACGTGAAAAAGGCATACTGCCCGACACCCAGCCTTACCAAACCATTGTTGAGGGGGACGAGGGCTTCCAATATTGCAAGAAGTACTTCTGTGGCAAGAAGAAGGTCACGCCTCCAGTATCCACCATTGTGGAATTCATGTGCCCGCGCACACTGGTTGACACGCTCTTCGCGATGCAGCTGGGGTTTGAATTCACGTTCGCAAAAGCTTGTGTTTTCATGGTGGGGGCGCTAGCATAAATGAGCTGAAGTGTCCAGGAAAACCTCTGCAAATCCAGCTCATTCTGCAGTCCAACAGTCAGTACGTGCTCAACACCCAAGCAAACCTTAGTGCCTGACAACGTGGCATCATCAACTCAAAAATCTGCAGAGGCAATGGAAGATCGAAGATGGGGCGCGCTCGCATGGGTTGGGAGAGACTCGGACTTCAGTACTTCTGCTTTTCCGATTCCCATGCAAGCTCTGCAGAATGGGTAGGGGTCACTTTCTGCAGAGCCTTCAAGTCTGTCTAAGGACAAGGGTGGCAAGGGCCTGCCGCTGTTCAACGAAGCCCTGGAACTAGGAATAATCTCGTGGCGCATCGTCTTCGTAAAGCGTAATCGGAAATGATCGCTGAGGATGCCTGTTTGTACAGTGTACAGAGTGGCTTGGGTGCTTCCTGAAGGCTTTCTAGGGCAGGAGGAATGGCGCCGCAAGGAGAAAACAGGAGGAACCACTCCGGCCTTTGTTTTAGTTAGGACCCCCCTTGCCTATTTAGGCATTATTTAGACATTATTTAGGCTATCGGCACCACCCACCCCAAAAAAGATGATATATCTATCCTAAGAGAACTATTTTGTTCCCAGATACCCGTATCTATCCAAGTGCCATGGTGTATGGGGGGGTCTATGTGCGGTGCCATGCACCTAAATAGGCAATGTACCCCCTAACTGTTTTTTGGGGCCTGCGGAATATGTTTGCTTCGCGTTCGGCCTGCGCCTGCCGTGCACTCGTTTTCGGGTTTGTACAAGGGGTCCTGTATGGTCCTGTAGATGTGTAGCATGAGAGAGTGACGGCAATATTGAAAACATCCCTATTGAAAACATCCCTCCATATTTTGTTTTGAATTGGTGCAGGTGCGCTAATTGCTGCTGATCATATAGTTTTCGGAGGAAGTTAAGGACTGAATGTCCCTATTCCGAGACCATTCTCAGGTTAAAGCTTGCATGGCTTCAAGCCAATTTCTGAGCCAGCCTCCAACTGAAATGATAATCTTAGTCATTGTGCCACTAGCAAGGGTTACAGTAGCTATGTTAGCAGCATTCCTTTCATAGCAACTTCATCCATGGTGGTAAACTTGCATTTTTAAGCAACCATGGCAATGACAAGATTTACCCGGCCTGTCTTGAAACGCTTGCAATCCTCGAGCATCGGCCAGCTACCCCCTTCTGAATGTAGGTCCCTGAATATCAGCTTTGCATTCTCCAGTTATGAGATCACAGTTGTGGGTGGGCAACTGCTTCAAGTGTGGTAGCAAACTTCCTCTCCAACAGGTGGGAATGGTAGTGTGATGCCGGGAACAGTGATTTGCTACAGTTGTGCAGGGGATCTATTCTTACGCGGAGGTAAGTGCTACTTCCTTTGTGAGGCCTACTTCCAAGTCATCGGGAATCATTTTCCATGGCTGTCCGCGCAGTACCGCTCCGCCAATCTGGAAGGTCCGCCTTGGTCCGGTACTTGGAGGAAGGGCTACATAGGGAGGTTTCCCAAAATAGGGGCACCTTTAAAGGGGTGGTTATAGAGGATATATAGGTGCTATATAAAGTCTAAGGTTTAGGGTTTCCCAAAGTTAGGGGTACCTTTTCTGGAGGTCCCAGCAATAAGGATTATAGTATATTGGGGTCTATATTGGGCCCCCTTGTTTTGGGAAACTGCCATGTCATAGGCACTACGATGGTTAGGAATCTTGTGGGGTTTGCGGGCTTAGGCATTTAGAGTTTCGGGATCTGAGGTTCGGGGATGCCGGGCTTACAGACTGATTATTGATACCATGACATTGTGCTGATATTGTGATCGACATGTCTGTAGTATTTCTGTACCGGCATGATGACAACCTCCTTCCTTCCGTCTACGTCAGGCTGACAGCCTCTATTTGACAGCCGGCTCATGTCCTCGTAAGATTTTTGGCGGGTACTGAGTTCCGGCAGTGAAATGATCCTGGCATGTTTGCTCTGTCTACAGATCTGACTGATTTGGCCATGGTTTTGGGCTAATCTGCTCCGTGGCCAAGAGGGACATACAGGATGATTCCGTCAATACTTCCTGATTCTAATTCCTTCTGAGATTCATCCTTGAGAAGTCCCGGTAACAACCGTAGCGGCAATAACGATAGCAAGGATGACGCCATCAGTTCAATCAACAGGAGCACCATCATGCATCACCATGCAATTTTACATGGAGGCACTTGTCCTCGAAGCCGAGGTTTGACAACTACGACAAGTCTGCCGTTGTGGTCGTGTAAGTGCGGCGCGCAGAGGGGGAGAAAAGGCCGCAGCAGACCTTCCTGGGTGAAAGACTAGCTTGGCTGTCCTAGCCCAAATCGCACTGACAACAGGAGGAAGCAGAGTCTGAGCAAATTCTGGGAAGCTCTCGACATCTGACTTCAATCCGTGCTTTGAAGTTCATGCAGGCCATTCGCATTCAAGTTGCACAGATGCAGATACTGGGGTAAAAGAGATCTCTGCTGCAGACATTTCAGCAATCGTGCACAATCTTGCCAGCGTAAACTTCACTTCCTGTACCCTTCGTTCTCCTTGAGATCTACTATACCCTGACCCTCACTCCGTAGCCAAGTTTGGCTCACATTGTAGATAGTTCGATAGGGGTTACCACGCAGTCGCCATGAAGCCAGTTGAGGCACCATTGGTCCACTACGCTAGCTGCCGGCAGCAAAGTTGTGAACCTAGAATTCCTTGGCTGTCACCGTCCCAGCTTGCGGAAGATTGGAACGCTCCAGTTTCGTGGACCACAGACAGTGGCAGCCAGTCCAGTGAAGGCCCATCTCCCGTCGATCATCTTGAGATCCCCAAGCAGGCTTCAGATGCGGATGCATGCGTTGCATACGTGAGGCCGGCTCCTGGCCTGAGCAGCCTGGGGCCTGGCGCCCTTGCTTTTGTCAGTCAAGGCTCAGCCATCAGACAGCCGGTCTCATGTGAGATGCTGAGTCTTGATGCTCCCGTTCCATTTCTGGCGGACGGTGTTCACACTGCTTTCGTCGGTCAAGCAGCAGGAGGTCAAACGCAGGATTCGCATGGTGCCAGCACAGCTGGCGACAAGTTACTTGCAAAAGCAACTCAAGCTTTCCGCAAAGCTCGTCGAGAAGTGGATGAATCGGATTTGGCAATGCAGAAGAGGATCAACAAGGAGCTCACAACTGCTGCAAGTTCCAGGCCAGACTGCATCACCGAGGTGCTGCGTGTGGCTGCAGTTCATCTACACCAATTGAACGGAGTCAACCTGTCTACGGCCATCCATCGCCTGGCCCGGGCATGTGAAAACTCCAAGGCAAATGCGAGCCGGGTCAAGACAGATCCCGTCTTCTTGCTGATGATCGAGGTGGCAGAGCTCAAAGCTCAGCAGGAGCTGCTTGGCCAGACGGACAGCATGCCTGGCAACTGCTGCACCATCATCACCTGGTCCTGCGCTATCCTCCGGTTCTTCCGACCCAAGCTTTTCACAGCTCTGGCTAGGGTGGCTACCGGTAAGCTCCAGGACTGCCAATGCTACGAAGTCACTAACCTATTGTGGAGCTTCGCGGAGCTTTGCAAGCGACAGCCGCAGATGGCGGCTGAGCTCGAAGCAAACATACAGGAGCTTGTGGAGGCCACTGCAAGCTACTTTCTCCGCCGAAGCCCACAGGGGTGGAAGATCCAAGTGCTGGTCTCGGCATTGGTGTCATTGACCTGCATGCCGTGCAAGGACTTTTGCACAAAGTGGTTCATCGTCAGCATCGTGCAGGAACTCGCGGAGCGCAGCGACGAGGCACAGGGTGCCAACCTGTTGCCCGTGGTGACTGCATTTGACACCCTCCGCACCAAGCACGTGAAGGTCTTCCGCGAGATTTCAGGTGCAATGACTGCGAAATATCCCAATTTTGTTGCTCGCTACATGTACGGTGGTGATCGCCAAAAGGGGAAGGCACACATAAGGCCCAAGTCATCAAAACGAGTCGAAGGCTCGTAAGCCATGGTGGCAGGTGACGCAACTGCTTGAACACGTTTTTAATTATATTCGCACTTCTCGAGAGTCTAGTTCCCAAATGCTTGTGGGTTGGATCTATTGCGTGCTTACATCTGTCACCATTTGTCTTGAATGCCAGTCCCAGTGTCGCTGCCGAGCAGTTGGCTGAGTGGCCAATGTTCCATTACTCCCCACTTAACATGTTTGCTCGCTGCCCCAATCATGGCGCAGCAGGCCACGCTGACTTGTGGAAGCGACTGCAGTGTTACGGTTTGCCGGGGTCGCGCCCCGACAGAGGCGCGCACCGCCAGATGTTACGCTCACCTGCTGTGTCTCCTGCTGTTACCAGAAGCTTCGAAAACCTGCGTTAAAGCAGGTAATTCTGCAGGATCCGAGTGTCTTAAGCACTTGCCAAAAAAACTGGTTTCTGAAACCAAAACCAGGGTTTCCAATTTCCAGCCTGTACAAAACCCGTAGTAAGCCCGTACGAAGCCTGTACAGCAAAAACCCGTCGTGGCAAACCGGGTTTCCTCTTGCCTTCCAAAAGCCAGGTTTTCGACTGAAAATCGGGTTTTCAAGCAAAACCTGCTTCAAACCAGGTTTTGGTGGGTGTAGGTATGTGAAAGAACAGCAAACATGGAGTGCATTGTAATGCAATGGTTGTCGTCAACGCTCAACACACGGGGTGATTCTACCACTATGTTGCTGGCAGAGGCATAAATCGAACATGCGGGCATCAGGCTGTAATGCGCTGAACACCGTTCTCCTGCCAATTCATGCCTGGTCCCAGCCGCTCACAGTCCGCAGCTAAAGTTCGTGCAAGCCAGGGGAGCAGAGCTTCTCGAAGTGCACGACCAGCGGTTGATGCAGAAACGTTGGCATTTGGGAAAGCCTAAACCCTCTATATTCCTATAACCCCCATATATCCCAATATTGTCCCCTTGAAAGATACGATGTTTAGCTTGTCAGCACCGACAGGGAGCTTACACCTTTCTACCCAGAGTTCCAGCGTTTCTGTGGCCGCCCGGATCGGGAATAAATGTTTACATGATGATGTGAGCTATAGTCCAAAACTATCCAAAACTCCTTCAGCGGGTATTATGTAGGGGATTGCTATAGGGGTTAAGGGGGATACTAGGAGTTTAGACCATGGCTCAGGTATGTGTCACCGGTGTTATCTTGGTCCACCATGACCTTCAGTTCAAACTCGAGCTGGCTCATCGTAATTCGGCTTGACGAAGCTCGGAGGGCCATCAGGGCCACCCCAAAAAATATATATGTCCACGGCTGCGCACGGTCCAGAACTGTTCAACAAAAAATGCAATACTGCGTATATGCGAAAAGGTTTGCAGAACAAGCTGGCCAGCAGCACGGAGAGCTTCTGTTTGTTTGACGATCTCAAGACCAAAAGAAGTGCGTGCGAAAAGAGATGTTTTCTGCAGCCTGCTTCTCCGAGCTGTGTGTGGGGCCACTGCGCGGTGGTAGGCTCAGGGGTGGTGTCATGACTTGGAAGCAGGCGGACCCACCCACACCGGGCTCAGTCCCTTGTGCTGCTGTGCGCCGCTGCTGCTGCCGCTGCTGCGGTATTTTGGACGCCTTTCTACTTGAGTGCCCTGCTGGGTCTGGCGTTGCTGCTGGCTAATGCTAATTGGTTTCACTGCTAGCTCTTTTGGTGTCTGATGCTGGTGACGACTTGGGTGCTCTGCCTTTTGCTCGTGGTAGCTCTTGGGGTGCGCAGCGACTGCTGGGGCGGTTGTGAGGGCGCAGGTCGACGCAGATGCGGTTGGGAAGCGGGGTCTTCGCAAGTTGGCCAGGTAGCAAAGTGGTTGCTCAGGCATCCCCAGCGCCCAAAGGTAGTTTTCTGCCAGTTAAGATTTCACGAGACAGCGTTCCCATCTCTGTGGAATTCGTTAAACTACTTCGGTAGCATAGGGCTTTCCCACTAGTTGAGCACTTGTTTGAGGACACATGCGCAGGAAACAACCAGGCATGCGAGGCCTAGCTCACCAACAACAGTATTATTGGAGCAGCAGTGCTGGCAGTGTTCTTGTTGTCACGGTCTGATCTTGAAGGGTTGGGTGCAGCTTCGCAGCTTTGCCTCCATGTATGCGGCTTTCTGGCGCGATGTAGATATGACACGCAAGGTTGATGATCAAACTTGGCCTGATCAACATGACCTGCTTTCTGGTTCTGGCTCAAGTCCATGGTGGCTGGAGCAAGCAGCACATCCGTCCTTGATGTTGCGCAAAAGGCGTGGAGCAAGGAGGGTTTTCATGTGCATACCGATACCTCTGTTTGCTACAGCTTGCATCTTTTCTGCTCAAAGGGGTGGAGTTAGCGGTGGCCATGGTAGAAATAGTGGGTCTGAATGGTGGCAGCTATCCTCTTTGAGCACAGTATGTTATGGGCAAACAGTAAGGTCCACAAATGTTGAAGACAGGAAGCTCCAAATCATGAGCACCCGTGACACTTTCAACTGGAGACCGCGTAGCGAGGTTGCTAGGTCAAGGCGAATGTGGACTTTGCAGCTTACCTTTAATCCAGAAGAGAAGAAACAGGTCAGCAACGGTAAGAAGTCCACATGTTTCACACAAAAAGCCTAAACCAAAAGTACAGGCTTGAACTTGCAACTTGAGACGCAAAGCTTGAGACCTGAACTCCTCAGCGAAACCTATATCCCGGCAGTGGAATCTTGATATCCAACACTTGATACCCGCCAAATCTCAGCAATGGGGGTCCCAAATACTTGACACTCGAGATTCGAAATCGTAGCCCGTGGAAAGCCCGAAGGGCTTTAGGGCTTGGGCAACTAGATTCTATAATAAAAGCATGTGTCAAAGTCCTGTGCGAATGGGGTGTAGCTTGGACTAATGGAGCGTGCCTCGGACTAATGGGGGCGACTCAAATTTTAAGTCACAACAGCTCACAGCCTTGGATCAATGGGGCGTACCTTGAACTATTGGGGCGACTCAAGATTTCAGTCAAGAACTCCTCACATCTTCGGACGAAAAGGGCATGCCAAGTCCCACACATCCAGGCCCGGAAGAGAATTCAGCAGTGGATGTCGCAAAAACATTTGAAAAGCAACCCTGTCCGTTCGGGTTCGAATGTGCGAAGACCCATGGAACAACTACTATTGTACGAATGCAAGGAATGCCTAGCGTCACATGCGAGACGGGCACCCGAGTAGTAGTCCTCGTCATGTAATAGCAACCGTAGCGCAGTAGCAGCCCTAATTTCGCCACCGCTGATGTTGCAGCATTTTCCACAAATTGAGTTTGATTGTCATTGATCTGATCTTCCGCAGGTGGGCATGGTAGCCAACTGCAGCAGCCAGTGGGACTACACCTGATGGCCAGCATGGTATGCAGCAGGCACGGCTTGCAAAAAAAAGAAATTTCCAAACTTTGAGAATGTCCCGGAGCTCGAGGTGCAGGCTCCCGCCATGGACTCGGGTCATGCTGGCAATTTGGCACGAGTAACACATTTTTGTTGGGTTTCTTTGCGTTGGTCCAAGCTGCTTGTGCAGACGTCATGCCATCTTGCTAATGTGGCTTAGCCCAAGCCAATGGCAACAGGTTAACGGCAACGCGTGTTTGCCCCGAAGCATGCAACCGTGGATCCGTTGCCAGCAGCGAGGTGAGCTGCCAATTAGGGTCCAGATCAACACAAGGAGGCCTAGGGCAGTGGAGACAATTGAGCACCTATACGACCACCCGATCTGCTACTGACATGGCTAGATCCTTGAACTTGCGCACATGGTCCACGTCTCAGCCGGGCCTCAACGTACAACAGCAGCTGATCGCTATCCTTCAAACTGTAATCACAGGAGAACGAGCCGCATGGCACGATTCTAGTAACCCACGCATCAAACAGACACAGACACGTCGCTTCAGGAGTGCAAGGCCAAATATGACAACAAGGGATAATGTGCAGCATTGTTGCTGATCGCCCTCACCATCCTAGAAGATCCTTGCTGCGTCCGTTGGTGGTTGTTGAACATGAATCCATATGCACAGTAAACTGTTCTGCCTGCCTGGCAGCGCATGCAGGCTTTCTTGCATGCTGCTTGCACGGTTCAGCGATCCATGGTTTTCAATTGATACGTGATTGCTGCCCAAGGTGACGGCAGTCGACCTGCACTCTGTGATGTCAAGCCTGAACTTGGAGACGGGCGCCGCGGCAACCCGTGCTCAGTCCGTTCAGACTTGGTGCCTTATCTCCATTTCATGTATCAGTTTCGTTTCCATTTGATTCTCTATATCATGGAGTAATAATAATGATATGTATAATCCCACACTCTCTTCGTATATATATATATATATATGCATACCCATGCAAACAAACATTGCTGATGGCAGGCCAGGCTCCGTCTTGAAGGGTCAGCAACGAAGTTGCTCCACCTGATTGATCCTCCGTCAAGCTGCCGGCGATCTGCCTGCGGCCACAACACATGTTTTCTTGCTGGTGAATGGCTTTAGTCAGACTGTGCGTGACACGGGCACGCCATGCCGGAATCTACATCGACAGTACCAAACAGCAACGCAGACTTTCTGCATCCCGCCCATGATCTGATGATGCCCGCCCCCCGCTTACATATGGTCCTAAGGGCGGGGTGTTACCCCTGGTCCAGCCAGTTGCGGTGATAGTTCCAGACCAAATATGGTCAGCGTGGAAACATTCGCAACGAATTCAAAGCAGCCCGCGATCTCGCAAAAGTTTGCTTAAGAGTGTCCGTTTGTGGAGCAACTGCCGCACAAGTGTGAGGCCCAGGCGCGTAGTAGGATTTGGCAAGTTTGCGCGCAGACTTGTGCTTGCCAGAAAGTCTGCTACCAAAAGAGCATTCACCGCTCCCAGCGGTTTTCCTACTACAAGAACTATCTCTGTATGCTCCAGACTTTGTTTTCGAGAAGGCCGACGGGTCCTCACCTCCTGCTTGCTGCAATATGGACTAAAGCCTAGTTTTGCCTCTGAGGGGAAGCCCACGCACTCACGTTTCTTTG